GCCCTGCGCTTGCAAAAAAAAAAAAAGGCGCAGGAGAGCTCGGATCGGAGAGGTCCTTGCAGCTGGACTCCGGATTCCTGGCATGTTGGAGGCCCTGGCCCTGGACGAAAGTACCTCGCATGCAGAAAGCAGCTCCGCAGCTCCGTCTTTCGCCTTTCTGCCAAGTTCCAAGGCTCAGATGCCGAAGCAGCCGAGGCCTGCGCGCCCTGCTTGTGCCAGGTTGACGAAATCTGACCTTGCTCTCTTGGCCCGGGCCATCTGTAGGCATTCTACACTGCCAGGAGCAAAGCACAACTATCTTGGTATAGGATGCTCAAACCGGCCCAAGTCACACTTTCGAACGCACACTGGCTCGCGACTTGGAGGTCTTAGGCCTGTGAGTTGGTTGAGGGACGGGCCGCAAACACCTCTACAGCAGCAGCCATCGAGTGAAGGGTTATGTTGCGCAGATGCCCAACAACCTGAAGTAAGAGTACGACTACTTGTAGTTACGAAGCTAAATAGAAGTCAGCTGCATCGGTTGGCATGGTGCTGAATCTGCTGCGTTGTGTATGCATAGCAAGCTGCCGTTGTCGCTGGAATTCGGTGAAGAAAAGGCCGGGAAGCGGACAGGACCCGAAGCTCCCGGCCGGCTCCTTGGCGCTCTTGGTGGCGAGCCTCTTAAAGCCGGGAGTTCAAAAGGCCCGGGAGCTCCCTCTCTTCTCTCAGTTCTCTCTTCGAACTCTCTTCGAGACGCAGGGCCAGACACTCGCATCCTTCGAGTACCTTGCGATTCTGCTGGTCCGCACCCCGCTCTGCCGCTCCGCTCTCGCGCAGAAACGCTTCTCGCCGTCGTCTCTCCGCCGTGCCGTGCCAGGGCGCGCAGATAATGCACCTGGTGGTGCTGCTTTGGTGCGGGTCCTTCCAGGATTCCCTTCAACAGCCTTGGGCTTGGCAGTCGGTTGAAGTTCTGAAGGCTGGGTCGACAGCGCTGGGTCGGATGCCTGCTGCTCACCCTATATGTTGGGTTGGGCTCCCAGACTCAACGTCCAAGTGCTGTGCTTCTGCAGAATCGTTGCAGGTGCTTGGTCTGGGTCCTGACGCGCTTCTATTTGACCGAGCTCTTGTATGGTGGCCGAGAGTAGTTGTTCCATGCTCGGCGCTCCTGCTGAGCATCACATCGGGATGCGCGGAAAAGCACAGCGGCCGGCTTCATCTCGCAGTCGCGCGGCGTGTGGGCAAGTTGTGCAAGCTTTGAGCTCCGCACCCTCTCGGATCGAAGTCTGGGCCCGTGACTTAGAAGGGGGGCCCTCGGTTCGGAGTTGTTTGATTTGTCTCTTCATCTTCGTGTTCATGGCGAGTTCGGCCTTCGGCCGGCTCCCGCTGCTCTTCCTCGGCCTCTTCGGCCTCTTCACCGGCGTCTCTGCGGACTCGCAGTCGCCGCAGACGCCGCAGTCCCCGCCGTCGGTGATGCGGAGAGCGGGGGTTGCCGAGGCCGGTCGGCTCTCGCCGAAGCCTTTGATGCGCTCACAGAGGGAGCCCGGGCCAGAGCCGGCGGAGGTGCTGAAGCCAACCGTCTCGGCTTCCAGCAGAACTTTTCGGCGACCCCTCTTCGACTCCTTGGCAGAGTCTGAGGATCTTGATCTCGATGGCTGTGGCTTGGCGCCCTGGAGCTCCTGGAGTGTTTGCAGCTGCGGTGGTCGGCGCCTTCGAACTCGGGATGCTTTCGGACTTCTTGAGGAGCAGCTTCAAGGGGGACCCGGAGCTCTCACTCGCTTTTCGGGGGAGCTGCTCGTGAAAGCTCCGGGGCGCTACCTCTTCCGGTGGCCGGAGCAGTGGCCGCTGCAGCGCCTGCAGGTCGGGGCGGCCTTGCGGGCCAGCAACGCCACTACGCGCTGGGTCCGCTACCTGGCCAAGGGGGCTCATTCCCTCGTGGTCGAGGCCGAAAAGCCGCCCGGCTCCTCCGCGGGCCTTCCCTTGCAGTACCGGGGTCCAGACACGCAAGAGGAGCCCATCTTGTTGCCGAGATCGGTGCTGAGGCATGGAGCTGGAAAGGGCTGTGAGGCCCGTGCGGCTCAAGCCGGTCGCTGCCCCGCCTGTGCGGTGGATTGCGAATGGAACGACTGGGCAGATTGGTCGAAGTGCGTTGCTTCCACCGCTCCGTGTGGAAGAGGCCAGGAGACCCGAAGCCGCTCCGTGCAACGCAGGGCCGCCTCGGGAGAAAAGCCTTCGCTGCTTGAGGGAGGCAGGGCCTGTGAGGGCCAAGGAGTGGAGCAGCGAAGCTGCCACGTAAACTGTGCCCGCACTTTCTGGTGAGGGCTTAGGGCTTAGGGCACCGCACTGCCAGACTGACTTCCACCGAGTAAAAAGGATGCAAGATGATCCAAGCCCTGCCGGCAATACACTCGGCTTTCATCTGTGTCTACGTGCTGCTTCTCGCAAGTGAGTATATAGCCAGATGCTGTTGACGACAAAGGCCACACATCAGATTCTGGGGATCCTCTCATTCTGGAGCTGAGCAGCATCAAGTCAACATTACGGACCGTCATCAAGTGCAGCATATAACTACGCCATGCCACATGGCGCTTGCAGCATGTGCAGAGACAGAGCGTGAGCGCAGCACGCACGTGACACGACCGCAGGCAGGCCAAGAGCTGCTTGAAGCGTTGCAGCGTGTTGTCGGATGCTGAGCGGCTTAGCTCCCGAGGACGAGGGAGAAGATGGCCTTGGAGTCGGAGGTTCGGGGGATCACGGCTGGTGAATCGAGCGTATCGCTGTTGCCGCTGCTGCGTTGAGGAGCGGCCCTCCGACGTTTCGGCGATTCTCCGGAGCGCCGTCCTGGAGGCGACAAGGGCTACACCCAGAAGCTCAGCAGTGAGAATGGTTTCGAAACGCATCAGGCACAGGAAGCTGTGGCTGAGGAGGTGCGCAAACTCTTTCTGGCCTCGCGCTGAGAGAGAGGACTGGCTTTGATTTGATGGTGCCAGGACAGAGGTGTCGGGAAATTGGCTTTTTGCGGGGCTGCTCTCAGTATTTCACAGTATTTTGCTGGCATCCCAGGCCCTGCGGGAGGAGATTCCGGCAAATTTCGACAAGGCCGCCGACCCCAGCCATGTGTGACACCCTTCGGGAAGCATTCGAGCTCGAACACCGCTCCGCTGCTACTGGCTCAGCAAAGTTTTGGTACACAGTAAGGGGGCGTGGGAGCAGGCCAGGCAGCGAAGGCAGCCTGTGTGGCAGCATGGTGCAGATGTGGGAGATCGTGGGTGGCGGGGACAAAGGCGGTATCATCGTCAGGCCCAAATACTCTGACAAGTTGCTGTCATGCGCTCGAAAACATACCCCTGAAACAGAGCCGGCTGCAGGGATGGTGAAACCACCAAGTCCAACCAGCTGGACGATCGCCTCTCCACCGGTGCACTTGTAGAAGAGGTCGAGCTGAAGGGCGACCGCCTGCACTACAAGCTGGTTTTGGGCACAGGCCCGCCCGATGGCTGGGCCACCTGACAGAGCACAGTTCTGGTAGGCTGTTGGTTGCGTGGCCTCTATGAGAGACTGCTGTCAGCTCAATCTGAGGTGAGCACCAAATTGAAGGACAAAGATCTGGCCGTGAAGACAGACAAAGCTCCTGTTTCGAGCCCTCCTCCCACATCCGTGGGCCCGAAAGGGGAGGCATTATTGTGTTTCTCTCTGCTGCCTTCGAACTTCGAGGGCAACGGTGCTGCCCCACGTTTCGCTTGTGCAAGGCACCCCTGCCCATTGGCCTCTTCTTCCCAGGCCAGGGATCACAGTATGCGGCTTGCCCTGCAGACCGCACGGGGTTCGCCTGCAGACTGCGAGCCAAGAATCCTCGCCTAGCGCGCTACTGCTTTAAGGTGAAGATGATGGAGAAGGTCATGGACATTGCCGCGGTGAAGGAGATGATCGAGAAGTCGAAGCCCATCCTCGGCTACGACATCCTCGAGATTTGCCTCAACGGCCCCGAGGACAAGCTGGAGGAGACCCGCTACTGCCAGCCCGCCATGTTCCTCGGTGGCCTCGCCGGTCTCGAGAAGCTGAAGCAAGACAAGCCTGAGGCCAGGGAGGGGCGGAGAGAGGCGCGCACAATCTCAGAAAAGTGTCTGTGCCTCGGTGCCTCAGGCCGTGTCACGAGCATCCGTCATGGCCGGCCTCTCCCTAGGCGTCCCAGGGCTTTCCTTTGCCTTCCCTTTTGCCTTCCCCTTTGCTCTCTCTCTGCTCTCTCCCCTCCTTTCTCGCCTTTAACAGCAGGTGAGTACACGGCTTTGTGTGCTGCGGGGGTGATGTCCTTCGAAGATGGCCTCAAGCTGGTGAAGCTTCGAGGAGAGGCCATGCAGGAGGCGGCGACGTGTGAGCCCTACTTGTAGGCCCCTAGGCTCACTGAGGAGCGCGGCTTCTTCAAGTTGACTCGGAACGAGGTCCGGAGCAAAGAAGCAACTGATGCTGTCCGTCGCTGGGCTGGAACGTGCCAAGCTGGATCCGCTCTGCCGTGAAGCCGCTTCCAAAGAGGCAGAGGGCCTTTCCTCCTCTTGCGTGTAATAAGGTAGCAAAAAAGTGTACCTACTTTGCAAGCAATGCCAGACGGGCAGGACGGCGGCGTGTGCTCCGTGGCAAACTGCCTCTTCCCCCAGGGCTTCTCGATCGGCGGTACGGAGAAGGCACGGTTGCAGTGGGAATCGCGACAAGCCAAAGCTTCAAATGTGGCGGTGCCAAGGCCATAAATACACTGAAGGAGCTTGCAGAGAAGAATGGGGCACTTCAGGCCGGAACAAAGGGCTCTTCAAAGAAGTTGGCTCTGCTCCAGAGTTTCTCGAGGCAAAGGTGCTGAAGACCGCTGGCGCATTCCACACTTCCTTGATGCAGCCGGCCCAGGACTGGGGTGTGCCCTCCTAACCTTCTTTCAGGGTGTCATGTGGGCTTGGCTTCGTGGCTTTGTCTTGCTCGTCTTGTCCACTGCCGCATTTCTCTTGCACACATGCTTCGTTGTCCTTGTGCATTGGAACAGGATCGTTCATTACCAGCTCTTCCTCTGAGCTAAGATAAGCTGCTTCAAATCATATTTGTCAGGTTTGTGTTTAAACGCTTCGCGTCGTCCGCCTCAGCCCGGCTGTACTTGAAGCAGGGGCATTGTTTCGGAAAGCCACGGGTAGGTCACACTGGTGAGTTCTTGAGTGAATGAGCGCTTTTGCTAATGTTTGTTTAATGTCAGTACTTATTTTCATGCTGAGGCTCTGAGCAATAATCCCACGTGAAAGGTGGCACATTCTCTGGATTATCCCACAGACGTTACTGTAATGACGTATTACAATTCTCACTGGTCAGTGGTCTCGTATACAACCTCCCATATGTCGGAAGGGGAATCAGCTTTGCAACGAAGTGCAAGACACAGCCCCAGAATTGACAGGCTTTGGCATCAGCTCCACGAATGATGTAAGCTAGCCTGTCTTGCCTCACCTCACACGGAAGAGAAGGAGGGAAGTGGGGGGGGAGGGTGGGGCGGGGGCACAGAAAACACGCACATTGTTGTTTTTTTTGAAGGGGAGTGCTCCCGGCAAGCCCACTGTCCGCCAGCAGAATGTCTGGACGCAGGGCTAGCCAACCCGAAATCCAACTTTCGATTAAAGATGTGGGGAACAGGGAATCTTTGCGAAAACCTCTGACCGCTTCGGCCGGGGGCGAGGCGGATTTGCCATAATACTGTACTTGCCAATGCCGATAGCTGATACCAAAATGATGCTGTACTTCGCGCCTTTAGAATACAGTTTCGTAGCGGCTTCAGTGGTCTATCAGGACAAGCTTTCTGCAGCTTTGGAAGAGACGCTCCCGAACATGAAGCCCCCCATGCACTCAGCAGCTTGGCTCGCGACTTGTGCGTGCTTTTTGCCGGGGGTTGCTGCCTGAGGTGTGGATGAATGCTTCGGCACAGCCCATTCGTCCTGGCACGGATCCAAAGGAGATCGTGGCTTTGTTGAAGAGGCACGCATGGGCGGCATGGGGCCGCAGGGTGCTGGCCTTTGCACTGTGGCAGGCAGCTGACGAACCCTGTCCTCTGGGACGATTCCATGAAGGCAATCCTCAAGGAGGGTGTGAACGAGCTGCCTGGAGTGAAGAAGGGGGAGGTGCGGGCGGTTTTCTGGGCTGTTCCGACCATTTCAGGTTCTATGAGGTTGGCCCCATGAAGCAGATCAAGGCCATGATGAAGCGAATCGATGCAACAGCGCCTCGGCAGTGCGAAGCGACGTGTGCTATCGCTGCCAAGCCGAGAAGCCGAGGCCTGGAAGGCAACGACAAACGTCGAGGTCTGAGAGTCTGAGAGGATAGGCTAGGAGGGTGAAGCGGGCCCTTGTCCAGGCCCCCCAGACCTCCCCAACACTCCCCCGACCCATAACCAGCAGAGCTAGGAAGGGGCTTTGCCCTCGTACCATTTTGTGCTTTTGGACCTGGGATGCTCCCAGCCAGACCTGTGGTCTCAATGCTCCGAGAGAAATGCTCTACGGAACATTTGTGCGCTATCTTTTCTCCTACGCAAAGGCGTCAAGGGCACGACACGGGCCGTAAGGGCTCATGGTGCAGAGCCAAAAGGTTGCCACTGGACTGACCCGGTAAGTCTCTCTTCCCAGTTATGTGCTCCGACTCTCTGACAGATCAGGCTTTGATCCCCGTGCTGGCTTGCGCCTAAGCCGAGCTTGGAGAGCTGAGCGAGCTGCTACTTTGTCGGTTTCTTCTGTCGCTGTCACAGCGTGCGGCATCGCCATGGGGGCCCACATGCCGGAAGCGTGTAAGTGCAAGGCAGGGGTGAGCCAAGGCCCAGTCTGGTCTGCAAGTTTTAAGCTTCGCAGATTTGTTTTCGAATTCCCTTCTTCAACTTCGTGGTCTCTCTTTTTTTCTTCAAAGGGTGCAAAGTAGTCGGGGTCTGCTGACTGAGGACCTCCTGCAGGAGATCCGTCGTGACAGCAGGCCAGGCCTCGCCCCAGGCTTTGCCAGACTGGGCCGTGGTATGTCGTGGGCAGGATGGGAGCCGTGCGATCGTCAGCCTCGCTAGGCCGGTGCAGCTCAGCTTCCTGCCTGTGGGCCTTCATAGACTGTTCATAGCTTAGGCTGAACTTGTGCTTGTGGAGGTTCAAGTTTGTGCATGCTGCCTAGCACAGACCCAGACGAGCATATCCAAGCATGAGTCCAGGAGCTGACATGGTGTGGATGTTTTGGATGTGGAGCCCGTGCAAAACATGGAAGCGCACGCACATGCGCCCGCCAGCCGCTACCCGCGAGGGTCCACATTTTGCGAAGCATTGTCTTAAGTGCGTTTCTCCCTGTAGCCTCTATAGCTTCGGCTTTGCTGGTCATTCCCTGCGATCAAGCGACCCATGCTGCATGTAGCAACAAAACGGCTCGCAGAAACACTGTGGAAGACCCGGCTCTTCGTGCAGTCGAATGAAAACGCCTAAGCAGCCAGAAGTCTGGATGGTGCGGGGTTTTGGTTTGTAACATCCACACGCGACACTTTAACCACAGCAGCTTTGCTGAAATCAACGGCGTATTCTACGCATTACTCACAGGAGTTCGAGCTCCGCCACTAGATGGAACTTCGCTTTGCGGCAGTCGATATGCTACCAGTAGTCACAGCGCGAGAAAGTGCATTTCTATGAGCACGACGGGGACGACTCCTCGCCACCACGCACTGTGCCAGGAGGGAGAGATAACAGGAGTCCGCAGGCGCGGCCCCCCCGCAGCTTCGCATGGCTTCGCATGGCTTCGCATGGCTTCGCTAGTGCTGAATTGCGAGCTGCGAGCCCTGGCCCCAGGAGATGAAGGAGCACAGGAGCGCCGCGGGCCCCACCACCGGCCGTTTTCAGTGGGGAATGCAGAGTCCAAACACGCTTTTCACCAGATCCAACGAATGCGCAGGAGCTTAGAGGTCTCGGACGTGCCGCGGGCACCAGCCTCGAAATCGTGAAGCAGTGCCTAAAGAGACTTCACGGGCTTTCCCAACTGTCTGAACTTGCTGAGATTCTTCGCAGAGTCAGTGCGCCTCTCAATGCCGTCGACAGCTCGGAGTGTCGGTCGAGTTGCAGAAAAGATCCGAAAGACCATACGGAGCCTGAGATAGCAAGAGCGGCAAAGCGATAGCAAGCAAAGTGACACAGAGGCCAGAGACGTAAAGCGCAGTCTCGCATGCTGAGGCCCGCGCCGCGGTCAGTGCCAACCGAGCTGCGATGCGGTGCCTCCCGCAGAGATTCTCTTCAAGGGACTTTCGCGAGATAAAACCCCATAGGGGATGAAGTGCTTCGCAGCAGTCTGTGCCGTTGTTCACCAGGGCCCCAAACCCTAAATTCTAAACCCGAAACATAAGCCGCAAAAGCCCTCAAGATTCGGCCTTGCAGTCTGAAGCGCAGCTTCATCAGCCCGGAGAACAGCGAGGCGCACCAAGGGCCGCATATGCACTCTGCATGCATAAGCATACGGTACTGACATACATGCATGCACAACGCACCGCAGAGGGGTCAAGCACGCGCTTTTCACGGTCGCCACCGAACTCCGCGCTACTTTAGGCAGCTTATGATACCAGCCATTGCAGGCAGGGAAGTGTTCTCGTAAGGCGGGATAGGCGGAGCGACCGCACCACCGCGGCTGTCCCCACGAGGAAAGAGCTAAAGGCTTGGGATTTCATGAAGCCCTGAGGTCCAGACACTGATGCCTGGCCCAGCTTGAGCAGGCGCTCAAAACAAAGGAGCATCCCTCAGGGAGGCTGCGGGCACCGCGAAGAACAAAAAGAGAAAAAGGACGGAGGATAATAAAACGAGGAAAAGGCCGAGGGATCTTCCGCTTACGGGCGCGCCTCCGCCTCGTGCTGGAGAAGGAATCCCAGTGCGATGCCCGCGAGCATGGCTGGAGGAATTGTTTGAGTGTACCCGTGGTTCGTGGGGTCGCGCAACTTGCAACCTCACAATCAGTGGGGATCCGCACATGTTCCATTCCTTAAGGAAGCGATGGTGGTGGAGCAGCAGCATGCCCGTCCAACGACAATTTGTGCTCCGGTGGCCAATCTAGTGGAGGAGTCCGCAGGGGGGATCGCGGTGCAGACCCTGAGGGTCGCCGGTTGGTACGACCTCGGCACGGGCCTGAAATATAGCACGCGGACTCGTCACAGAACCGACGGATCGGCGCACAGCCACATCTTCTCCCGTGAGCTCCGGCCCCGGCACTCCAAACTGAAGCTTTGCTACGGGACCTTCGGGATGGGCGCACAGCTCCGCGGACGATGCTCCCACATAGACGGCCATGCCACGGTCCGTGCCGCGACCGCGCAGCGGGCGACCTGGACCAGTCGCAACCTGCCGGGCTTTCATCCCACCCCCACATCCACCCCCCCTCACACCCACACCCACACCCACACC